TAACTTGATTGGAAGACTTTTTATTCAGAGCTGGGCTTTGCACACAAATAATATCACTATCTCAAAATCTAATTTGTACGTGAAGGACAACAAGGGAAGGTTTTCTCTTTGGCAGATGGATATCAAAGCACATCAGCAAATAGATCTCTCTTTGCTGTCACATCCCACTGAAATTTAATAGGCTGAAAATTCTTCCCTTTTCCCATTTATGCAATTAAAACGAAGAAAGAAAGAAAGAAGCCAGTTAAAATTTAGAAAAATAAATGTATCATCTTAAAAGCCAAAGCCTCGGATAATAAATATTTTTTCTTCCCTTCATATAGAGGAGAGTAATGGAGCTTAGTTCTCCTATTTAATCTACATGGCAATTGCCAAACAGCATTAATCTTTCCTTTAAAAAAAAAAAAAAGTTTCCACAATGTTAAAACGATGCAACAGCCATTTCGAGGTTGTGACTAATCAACCAGACACTGAAAAAGTAAAGTCCTATTTATTAAATGTGTTGATATAGGTTCGTAAAAAACATACAGAGAGAATTTTATACACTTTATTAAAAGATCCGGGAGGAGAAAAATAAAATAAACAATAACAATATAGAAGTAACAGAGTAAAATGAGTTGCATTATGCAATGTTTTCTAGAAAGCACAAACAAGCACGCTAGCAATATAAATGTGGCGAAAAGGAAAAATAAAAAATAAAAACATCAAAGCATATATTCCATCCGTAACAACTGAGGGAATGATCTCTTCTCGGTGGCCTTGAATTTAACAAGATTGGAACTAATCTGGATTTGCATCACGATGGAACCAGATTGAAAACGAATCAACTGATTTTCTACCGAGTCTCCTTTTGGTCCCTGGCAAGATTATATTTTTTTACTCAATCATTTTAGTTTTTTAATTTTCAAAATTGGAAGGGTTTTTTTGAGGGGGGGGGAAGGAAACCCAAGTCAAATCAATCCAAATAATTACAAAAAAATTAAGACTTTAGGATCCGAATCCCTCCCCTTCTTGATTTCGTGCAAAAGTCTGAATTAAGCATTTGAAACCTGGAGAAAGATTGAGGTTTTTCCTGGCTTATTCTGGTTGTTGATCATGGATTTATT